TGAGGAAAGGCTGAGAGAGCTGGGCCTGTTCAGCCTGGAGAAGAGAAGACTGCGAGGGGATCTTATCAGTGCATATAAATATCGGAAGGGAAGGTGTAAAGAGGACGGGGCCAGACTTTTCTCAGTGCTGCCCAGCGATAGGATGAGAGGCAGCAGGCACAAACTGAAAGACAGGAAGCTCTGTCTGAACGTGAGGAAAAGATTCTTTACTGTGAGGGTGACTGAGCACTGGAGCAGGCTGCCCAGAGAGGTTGTGGAGTTTCCTTCCTTGGAGATATTCAAAAGCCGTCTGGACACAATCGTGGGCAGCCTGCTCCAGGTGGCCCTGCTTGAGCAGCAGGATTGGACTAGATGATATCCAGAGCTCCATTCCAACCACAACCATTCTGTGATTCGGTACAATGCCCAGACTAGATGTCATGTTCTGGTAGCCTTTTCTTGGAGAGCTTTGTTACATGGATCTTTGCAGTGGTGGAAAACACAGGCAGACACAAGTGTAAAAAGAATTAAATTGTTTTTGTCTTGATTCCTTTAAAGCACTGTACTTTTGTTTTACAAAAGGGTATTGACCCAGGTTCTTAAAAATAAATAAATAAAATAGTGTTTGCTATATCTGGAAGACCTTGTACTCTAATCTAGTGTTCTCTTTCTCTCTGTAAAACCAAAGTGGGGTGGAAGTCCACTATGCTGTTACATTTGATGGAAAAGCCATCAGCAATGCCACCTGGGACCTGATTAACCTTCATTCCAACAAGGTGGAGGACAACTCCTTTATGGGCATAGAGGATAATCCAACAGTTGTTTATACCATCAGTGATTTCCAAGATTATATTGCTGAAATTCTCCAGAAAAATGCCTTGCTTGAAAACACTTCCTTGATTTTGGACCCTAACTCTCTCCAACTTATTAACGGTGAGTATTACTTAAGATACATGAGCGTGCCACACATCTGAGGCCTTATAAGGTAATTCTCAGGGACAGGTGAATTATTCAGCTGCCCTCTGAATAATTAAACGATGAGAACAAATGGGATGTAGTTTGTTTTGCTCTGATGTTAATCAGGTCAGGTAATTAGCAGCAAGATCCCATTCCTAATCCATTAAATTAGCCTCTCCTTTTTTCTTTCACACTGTGATCTGGGGTGTGCAATTTCAGTAATATTTCAACAATTGGAAGGAATGGGTGGTGAAATGTGGTTTGCATGATGCGTGTTGCCCTCAGCACCCAAGATGGGCTTCAGCTTAGTAGCTCTCTATTGGTTTTGAGCAGCACAAAGGAACCCCCTGTTTTTTTGTTGCCTACTGGGAGAGCCTTGCACAGTTGGTGGAGGAGTAGTGTCCACCCCTCTTCCCAGCTTTCCTGCGCGCTTTCCTGGAAGTCCCCCCGGATCACTCACAGGAGCAAAATCTCTCTGGCAAAGCTTCTGAGGAAGAGCCTACTAGCAAACCTGAGATGAGGAAAGGTTTTTCAGTCAGTCTTCTACAACTTCTTCACACTGCTGGTACAATCTTCAGATTCCTTGTATTTATATTTTTTCAGTGAAAGAAACTGTACAGCCTGCAGCAGAAGACCCATCCTGGATTACTGAGCATCCCGTTGTGCTGGAGCGCCCAGAGTCTGATGTGAGTATGGTTCGGAGCAGTGGTCTTTTAATTTGCCATGTGTCCTTCAAACACATTTAAGCAGCTTAATTCAGCAAAATGGAATTACCCAGAGATTCTCTATCATACAGAATGGGTAGTCATGAAGGCGCATTATATAGTGGAGTAAAAAGTTTCTGGTTAAATCTTTTGATAATTTGTGTATCTGTTGCACAACAGTTTTCTGTGGTCATTTTATATTACACGGCAGTACTGTGTTTCTGGCTGTCCAGCCACATCTTGCTTTTTCGGCTTCCTATGTGTAGTTTCTCATGATGTTTATATCACAGATTGCTCATAAAGAGACATGATTCTCCCCACAATACCACCTTTCTTTGGAAACACAAAAATAGATGTAAGCAGTAAAGCTGGCTGTTACAAGAGATGAGATAAAAGGGTAAGCTTCCTATGCTCCTTTTGTTACTGTATTGTTTTCACTGAAAGTTCTTAGTTCAGTTCTTAAATGATGTCCATCCCCTTAGTGTCAGCAAAGGAAACAGAAAAATATTAGCCAGTGGTTTCTTTTTTTCTTTTTTTCTTTTTTCCTTGCAAAATATATAAATTATCTCCTCTGATTCTTCTGATTGCTCCAAAGGTGAAGTTCCCTATTGGACAGAAGGCTTTGTATCTCTGAACGTGCCTGTACAATGCAGTGGAGCTGTAAGCAGAGATACCAAGGCAGGTGCTGCCAAGCCAGCGATGCTGAGATCGAGTTAATTAGTTCTGCTGACAGCTAGAGTTCCTGTATAGTGGAGCACTGTCTGGGCTTAAGGGTTTGTTCAATAGATTTCTGCACTGTGCTCTGTTGTGTAACACAGGTGTGTGCCTTCCAAGAAGAAGTGAGATCAGTTCATGCCACAAAACCCAGACCCACCTATGTTTGATGGAGATGTGTTGTGAACACAGACACTAAACTTCAGGCTAACTCCTAAAATCCTTACAGAAGCAAAATTCTCAGTGACTGCATAGAAGCAAAAATTCTTGTTATAACAGTCCCAGGTATAATATTTGTATGTTCATGTTAGTGTCCCCTGAGTTTTTAAAACTAACCAATGGTGTCTAAAATGCAGATTCACAGGGTTTTGTTATAAATGGGTTAAACATGGTGTGGATGAACGTGAATTTGAGTTAGCTTTCAGGTGTGGGCTTTCTATTTACTAGAGGTATATAACTAGATTCTAATGTTGCATATAGTTATTTTAATAGGACAAAGGATTCTGCCATCCTTACGTTCTTTCTGTGGATGCTTTAACAGGCAAAAAGATATTATAGGTGAGACGAGTTTTGCCATGATAGTTGATCTTAAACCAGTCTTAGGGACTAGTCTGTAGAAGAAATATTACTAGAGTTTACTTTTTCTAATCATGGCCTATGAATAATATCGTGTCACTTATGTCTTCAGTCAAAATATCTGATTATATAAAAATTAAAGATAGTGAGTATATCCAGAAAACACCTATGTAAAATCGACAATACACAGATAATTTTGGGGAAATAATTTTGGATGCACTTAAGAGAATCAGACTGCTTAGAGACAAACAATAAGCAAGAGTGAAATGATTAATCGTGATTATTTGCACAGATGCACAGCCTATCCTTTATGGTTCAAGTAGATACTGTTAAGTAGAACTGTGGCCTATGAAAAAGAGTTCTGTTGTTGTTTTCCTTTGCCCGATTCTGGAGGTTGGATTTGTATTATCTTACAGGGTCATGGCATAATGTGGCACTATCATGACTTCACCATCTAGTCACTAGAAGATGTTATCAACTAATCATTAATTCTTCTCTTGGAGTTTTACAGTTCTCTTTTAAAAAAAAAAATTCAGTCTAGTTTTTGAAATCTGTACTTTTTTTCTGTTGAGTTGTAGCAGGTAGAATGCATTGGATTATTGAATACAATGTCTTTTTGGCAGCAGAAAATGGAAAATCAGGGAGTTTGTGGGGTTTTGTGTTTGCAGTCATCTGTCATATTTGTAAGCCTTTCAGAAGGCATTAGCAAGAACTGAACTTGCCAATATGATATTAAAGTTGTTAATATAATATATTGCACTGTAACAAGAATCTCTGAATAATGTTAGTTGTCATAGGAACATCTCTCCACGTTAAAATAAATGAAGTGCAATTCCTGGCAACTAAATGCTCACAGAAAAAACTGTATTGAGAAGCTATCACTGCTAGTCCTTATTCATTCTTTATGGAATGTATATGGGCAGTTTCCTTCTAATCTTGCACAATAACTTTTTTCACAGGTTTACTTATAGTGGTCAATTTTGCCAAAAAGATAATTGCTGGAGCACATGTGTGTATACGTATATGTACTTTTCAACTAATCATTACCATATAAATGCTAAAATGGGAGAGGACTGTGATGGAATAATGACTGGCTGTAAAAACACGAACAGTACAGGTGGACAGATAAGAAAAATACCTTAATTGGCTTGTTTCAGAATTGTTCAAAAGCAACTTGAACGGATTTGAAAATTTAACTCATCCATATATTTCAGGCAGAAGTAAAATTTAAAACTGAAAAATAGTTAAGCTTGCCCTGATTATTCATGCTAGTAAAGTCAAACAGATTAGACAGGAACAGTGAGCCACAGGAGTGGTTAAATCAGTATGTAGTTTTGACCTCAAGTGGGCAGAGGTGCCAAAAATACTTACTAAACTTTACTGGTTGCCATCAACAATTGGTTAGTTTTTAGTAAAGTGGTTCTTGTTTAAGTTATTTGGCAGTTTTTCACACCTCAATTTTTTTTGTCCATACCAGCTTATTGCATAGCATAGCCATCTGGGCAGGTGCCTGTGCAAAGCACTGGAACTCCGGAGTTTTAAGCAGTTAGCTTGCTTTTACAGTCTTAGTCAAATAACTTAATCTCTTCCTTGAGTTTTACCAATATACTTACCTCATGAGACACTGAATAGGTTAATATTAAGACATGTACAGTTTGCTAAGTATTCTAATTGTATACCAAGTAATGATTGGTGTATAGAGTAGGAAGTAAACGGTGTGCAAATTGGAAAGGGATTTGAAAACAAATTCATTTTTCACAGCTCAAGCAGTTCACAGATTCATTATACACACTCTTTGTTGTTCGTCAGTACTGCTGATAGTTTTCTCTCTGCGCGTGCGTTTCTTAAAATTCAGATTAAAGACATTCTAAACATTCTTCTTTATATTATGTTTTTTGTTTCCTTCTCGTATTCTAATACCAACATACCAGAAGATAGCAATAAATCTATTTAATCTAGAGGGCATGCATAGATTCATGTTTGGTTTCTAAGCTCTTTTACTTAACATAGTAATTATAATAATATCATAATTATTGTATTATGTAGCTGATAAACAATGGCTGATAAGAAGCCATCAGAATGGCTGATAAGGAAGGCACTACCGTGTGCATGAAACTTTTATTTAATTAGAAATGGATGGATTCCTTTTTCAGGAAAGGAAAGGAAAGGTGATGTGATGTCGATGGTAAACCTCTTGTAACTGAAGCTGCCCTACAAAGAATCTGTGTAGCTTCTTTCCCTTTGTAATGGACGTGGCCGGGCTTCAAATGCAGGTCACCAGGACACACATTTTACATATACATTATACATTATTAGCAAGGAGTACCTTTGCTAGTCCTCTCAGTTTGGCGTGTCTTGCTGCTATGCATTTACTTCCTCACAGAGGCAGTAGTACCCGATTTTGCTGCTGGCTGACGGTTAACGCCCTTTATATGTTCACCCCAGTGTGGATGGCCAGTACTTCTCCTGTAATAGAGGTTATGGTTTTATGTTTCAGGATAGCACCTTTGTAGCTGAATGGCCTTCAGCGGATGAATCAACGGCCAGCAATACCTTGCCATTCGACTTCACCAAACCAGATTTCACTTTAGGTAGTGAACAGTCCAATGACAATGAAATCCGGCCAAGGCCTGAAAATCTGGACTCCGAGGTCAGCTTGACACCTGAAGCTCCACTCTCCCCAGAGGCTGACGTCACTTCTTTGCCTGGTGGCCTGAATTTAGAGGAAGGGAATCGGACTCCCCGTTTGGTCGCCCCATCAGTATTAGGGCACGATTCTGTGGACTCTCTGGAATGGTTTTCAGTCCCCAGTTCTTTAGATGGTAAGTTAATGTCATTGACTAAAGCTTAATTCTGGATTTCCTGATACTCACCAAAGGTATAGTGCAGCAAAATTACTTCTTAGATCTAAAAACTGGGTATATTTCTGTATGATTGTTTTCACCTTTCCGGTGTGCCCTGCACCCAAGAACAAGATGTTACGATAAAATGTTTGTAACACCTAATAATGCCTGTTCACCCCCCCCAGGAAATTGTGTATGCATAACACTTGTTTAATTGCACAAAAATATTTTCGTACAGGGCATGTCTGAGTGATGCCATGCAGAGATAACTGCTCTCTGAAGTAGACTAATTAGCCTAAGGATGTGCCACACAGCTATTGCTTTATTGTTTATTCTGCAGTCTTGACTTAGTCCACAAAATATCAGAATCAAAAATAGGGAGATCAGCAGGGGTTCTTCTGACTGTGGTATAAAATAGCCAATATATATCATGGGAAATAAGCTGAGTATAGATCTATGGACAATAAAATGGAATGAATTTGACCATTTTTTTTGGCATGCAAAGACTAATTGGAAACTGATTTTTAGGGTTTGACGATGCTGGACTAGCTGAAGACTTTCTTCTGCCTTCAAGTGTCCCTCCTTACCTCATGCCAAAGAAACCTTCATCCACAGATGATCATGTAGTTCCTCTGCTTTCTGCACCAACATCAGCCTCTTCATCAGTCACAGAGACTGATACTAAAGGAACGGTATCTGCTGAGAAGAAAGAAGTAGCTAGGGGTAGCGCTGCAGAGAGTAGTAATGCAGACTCTGTGTCGCACGAGTCCGTGAAAGAAGTTCCTTTTCCCTTAGAAGCAGACCCTGCGGAAGGTGAAACTGATATATACCTTGGAGATAGAATTATAAATGAAGATGGGTCTGGTTCAGCTTTTGATGGATCGGGAAAAGAAATGGAATCCAATATTTGGCCCTGGGGAGCAGCAACACTGGAACCAGTTTTCTACCCTGGTCCTGATAGCTGGCTTGCTGATGACAATGAGTCTCTGTTAATCAGAACTGAGGATATTCCTGAAGGCCTGATCTTAGACTATATCCTTAACTCTAGGAAGAAATTAGAGGAAGATCCTTCTGCAGACGAGAATGAAGGTATGACCAATACCAATATAAGAGAAGACTTCCTGGATGAGTCTGAAATATTTGTCTTTCCAGAAACTACAACTCAGCCTGCACCTCTGTTACAGACCGAAGAGCCATCATCTGTGGAACCATCTACACAGATGGAAACAGCAGCCATGTATGATCTTTCTTTGGTTAAACCATCCCTTTTTTTGGAGCCTTCAGTGGATTATTCCTCTGTAGACATGCCAACTGGAGAGGACCCTGTCTCACCACAGGATACAGATATGTCTGTAGAAGATAATTTTCTTACATCCACAGGGACCCTCAGTGTGGAACAACCTGAAGAGTTCAGTGTGGGTCGGAAGATCATTTCTGAAGCAGCTGAACACCAAAACGAGGACAGGTCAATGGCAGAAGAATTATCCACAGGTGGGCAGTTGGATGTAGCTGAAGCTGTTACAACAGGCCACTTGGACACAAGCTCTTCAGAAACTATTTTGGCCATGGATCCTTTCACAGTACGTGCTGACACTTCCACAAAAGAGCAGCAAACCCTAGATTCACCCTTGACAGGCCAAGAAGCTACTGGATCAGTGATGAAGAAACCAGATGATATTTGGCCTACTGACAGAGCACTGGAGAAGACATCAGATCACAAAGTGCAATCAGCAATACCAACTGTACCTCAGCTTTCTACTGTAGTTCCTTCTGTAATAGATCAGACCACTGTTTTAGAGGACTTCGCTGGACAGGGTGATACGGACCACGACACCTATGTTTCCAGTAGCATTAGCACTGTTATGAACTCGCATGTAACAGTGAGAGTAACAACAGATACTGTAGCGCTTCCATCCCATTTCGCTCCTACGGGATCCACAGTATCGCTGTCTTTGGCTACCTCAACAAAGCTGGAAGATGAAACAACAGTCTTGGATATTTCAGTGGAGCTGGATCATGTGAGCACTGTCCACTCTTCTCCTGAGCTGAGTGAGGAGGGAAGGGGCATGACTGAGAGTCACGTAGAGCTAACAACAAATGTCCAATCCACAGAGATGGCCAGCGTGGCCTGGCCCACTCATGAAAATCGCAACAGTACTCCTGTCCCATCACGAGCTCTAGTGGTGTTCTTCAGTCTTCGAGTTACCAACATGATGTTTTCAGAGGACCTGTTCAATAAAAATTCTCCTGAATATAAAGCATTAGAGCAACGATTCTTGGAACTGGTAAGAATCACTTCTCTGCTAAATATCCATTACCAGATAGACAGACAAAAACTGTTGGTAAATAAACTGTTGGTAAATAAATTGTCTGCTCTGTAGTATGCAGAGCATAACTCAGACGGATGTTACAGATGTATTGTTAGTATGGTTCCTCCATGGTAAAATTCTGTCAGAAAAAATTTTAATTCAGTCATTAGTGTCTCAAAATCTGAGGAAATAATTATCTTAACTTTTGAGCAGTATGGACTAGATGCTCAGCAGGTGTCAGTAGATGTAGTGTAGCTGAAATCACTGGGACACTCCCTTCATTTGCTTCCGGAGTGCTCTTTATTTATTCTATGGGGAAAGAGAAGTAAGTGACCTGGGACTGTGGGGAGACACCTTTCTGCACACATTCAGCCTATTCCAAGTAAGAGCCAGTTTAGCTCCCTAAACTGTCCCTGAACATAGCCCACTGTCTCTTAAATAGCTAACGGCTAGCAACGTCTTATAAAAGATGCACCAATTATAGCACCAATTATCAAATTTTAACCTGGAAATCCCTATTTCCTGGTTGCAATGAGTATTTTGCTTTGGAAGAAGGAGGGAGCAAAGGAGAGAGGGATAGAGAGAAGGGGGACAGGCTATAAGATCATCTCTCATGCTGTGAGACGATGAGTATGCCTGGTGCTTAGATCACCATATATATCCTGTGATTTACATTTCTGTCTCATAGATCAGGAAACTGGCTGCAAATTGATCTACTCTAAGAATTGTGCGGAGTACTCTGGCTCGTGGCAAGCTGCCACTATGGGTCTCAGTTGCATAAAGTTTTGATACTCTTGCTGAGGGATTTGGATAAAATAATTCAGACTCCCTCTGTTTTTGATGCAATAACAGACTTGAGTAGAAGATTCAAAGATTCAGCTTTTCTGTCATTGTGTCCTATGTTGCAGCTTGTTCCCTACCTTCAGTCAAATCTGACAGGCTTCCAGAATCTGGAAATCCTGAACTTCAGAAATGGCAGCATTGTGGTGAACAGCCGAATGAAATTTGCCAAACCTGTGCCTCGGAACGTCACCAATGCCGTGTACTTGATTCTGGAAGACTTCTGCAACACTGCCTATCACACCATGAACCTGGCCATCGATAAGTACTCTCTGGATGTGGAATCGGGTAAGGATGCAAGGAAATGCAGTTGCCGGAGCAGGGGTTTTAGGAGCAATGTCTGCTTTAAGAACTTACTTAGGATCCCAGCATCTCAGAAATTGCCCACCACTTTTCAGAGACGGGTTTAGAAAGACAGTCTTTCATAGAGTTAAAAAAAAAAAAACAAAAAAAACTGTTTAGTGACTGAACAGATGGATCCAGACTGAGTAAACTATATGGGGCCCCTATAGAAACACAGAGGCGCAACTGGCTCACGTTATACTCTGTGCAATGCCACTGCACTTTCCGTGTGGAGTCAGAGGGAAGGTTGGTCGGTGAGTAGAGCGGTGCCCAAGTCTCTTGGGCATGTACCTACATACAAGACATACATATGTTATCTTCATGGTTGTTTTCAACTTCTTCCATGTAATCATTCCCCCAGGAGGCAGCCAGCTTAGCTGCAAGGTAGGTACCTGCACAGATAACAACAGCTCTTGCCTCATTCTTGAGTTCAGGACTTGATAGCAGTAAAATGTTACAGGCCCTCTCAATTTATTTCCCTGAGATGGAGGAAAGTTTTTTTTCCCCCTAAGTCAAGTCAGTCAGCAGTTTACCCTAAAGGCAACCCAAAAGTATTTCCCATTGTAAGGTTAGAGAAAAGCAGCAGTTCTGACTTGCTGACAACAGTAGCTGTTCCTCTCAGACAGCTCTATTATAAAGATGGTCTATTTAGTGTAGAAAATTTGTTTATAGTGTAATCACTTAATTGTATGCTAGTCCTCTGAAGCATGATCCAAGCAAGAAGTCTCAAATGCGACAAAGCTTCTCGTGTTCTTTGCAGACAAAGACAAATCACCTCCCAGTAGGTGTTGCCTGCTTGAAGTCACCTTGCCCTTCCCTGTGTAGATGCCTAGTTTTTCTGTCAGGAGGAATGCTGAAGGGTCAGCTGTGTTTTACTCTATTTTGCAAAATAAAGTCCCAGGTGACAGGGGAGGCACTGCATATTCCAGAAAGAAAAAGAATGTTTAATAGTTCGGTTTTTTTGATTGCCTTGTTGGATGGTCTTGGCCATACTACTTGCACCCGTTTTACAGACAGGGAGATGAGCACTTCTTCACCTTAGCAAATCCTTTTGCAACACATGAATGCCACATGCTAGATTTTTGTTGAATATTGTAACTAAGAGATCATGAGAGATGCTACTTCGCAGGGCAAGAGAGTGACTGTGCTTTGCCTCTATTAAGGTTATTAGCTATCAATCATTAGTATTTTCTGTCGTGTCTGTTCTCAGGCGATCAAGCAGATCCTTGCAAATTCCAGGCCTGTAACGAGTTCTCCGAATGCTTAGTAAATCGCTGGAGCGGGGAAGCAGAGTGCGTCTGCTATCCTGGCTACCTAAGTATTGACGGGTTGCCGTGCAACAGCATTTGTGATCTGCAACCCAACTTCTGCTTGAACGATGGGAAGTGTGACATAAGCCCTGGGCAAGGGGCCATATGCAGGTAGGTCACCCTTCTGTCTGAAGTATGTGCTTCCTGTATTAAGACCCCTTATTGTCTCCTTCACTCCTCTGGTTAAGTTCTGTAAGATAACGTGTAACAGCAGCGCTGTTAATGACTAACATCCACCTAATGCTGCTGACTGGAGGTCCCAGTGTTAGTTTTCTTACGTAAAGCTCTGAAATAAGGTAGTAGCAAATTTCCTTAATAGAATGGAAATGTTAGGAAGGAAAACTAACTGGGAAAAGTAGTAGCAATGGAACATACTCAGTTGTTCACATCACTTCATTGATCTCTGGGGACAGAATTTATCTATCTATCTCCAGAAATTTTCTCAAGTACCAAAATGTTAGATAATGTCATAAAACATCTGTAAGTTTATTCCATCACAAAAAGTCAGCTCTGAAAGGCATAATACAGCATGAAACATTAAAAATTGTGCTCTTGGTTAAGAAAAAACTAGTAAATCTTTGGCCACTTGGGAAAAAATCAGGTATCATTCATAAAGAAAGATCAAGGTGCAGACTCTCTGACACAATTTTTTGTTTTTAAAAAGCTACAGCTGCGTTTGAACAAGATGTCTACGTTTTAAAGAAAGTTGAGAAGACTTACTAAAAGATATAGCTAAATATATGCTCTTTCTGGTACTGCACTTAATTCTTTTTCTTCCTTCTCAGTGTTAACAGTCTATGCTTAGAAACAAGGAGTATACCTCTCAACAAAGTCAGGGAGAATTATTGCAAAAAAGCTTGATGCTAGTAATAGTTATTATTTACGTTTACTTCCGGTGATTTTGTTAAAAGGCTTACCTGGAATTTTTTTCAGGTCAATCTTAAGAGTCCTAACAGCTAACATGAAAAACAGTAAAATGTTTTTAAAGCTATGAAAAATCAATTCTACCACAGATGTAATATAGATTTTTCTCATATTTGTATAATAGCATTTATGAGAAATGGGTAAGCATGCTCCAGACAGTATTTATGAAGAACTCTTATGAAAAATTTTAAGCACTGGTTACTACTTTGAGAAACTATTTCAGATATTTATGTTAGAAGATTTAATTTACTGATGCTTCTTATTAATGAGGTTCATTCCTGTGAATGGTCATAACTCCTTATGGTTCTTCCAGTTTTTAAAGTAAAAAGCCCCAAACACATCAACAAAATGTAGATTAACTATTTTTATTGCTAAATTCAAAGTCAGCCTGAACATCACAAATTCTCATGCTTAAAACCACATCAAGGCAGAAATAATGAATGCTGTTTTGGGGTACAGATTCAATGATAAGTTGTGGACACCCACTTTAGTTCTAGTCATCTATTCTAGATATTTATTTAACTAACCATTATGGAGCTTGCTACACTCTAAAAGCATTCTGCTCATTTAACACACCTTCATTTGCATTTATATCACAATAACATTGAAGGTAGAATGCAGTTTTGTTAGTGTTTGATACATCTTGTGCAAGGCTGAATCAAGGCATAACACTTTTTAACTTAGCCTAAACACCTTCTATCACAAGATTTATTACTCTAGCTAAACTGCAAAAGCCACAGGCCTTTATCATCACAAACGCATTATCCATTTATTTTGCTCCCTATATTCACTCAACTCAGTAATATTAAAAAGGCTGTTAATAATTTAAAAAAAAAAAAAAACAAGGAAGAAAAACTTGGTTCTTGAAAATGCAAAGGTATTTATTGAGGTAAGTTAACTGAGGCCATGTCATAACAGGAAGTTAAATAAGCTTACATTAACCAAAGTGACAGTTTTTGCTGGTGTTTTATTTCCCAGTGCTTTTTTTGTTGCAGGTGTCGTGTAGGAGAGAACTGGTGGTACAGGGGGGAGCACTGTGAAGAGTATGTGTCTGAGCCACTTGTCGTGGGTATTGCAATTGCTTCGGTGGCAGGATTCCTTCTTGTTGCGTCTGCTGTGATCTTCTTTCTGGCCAGGACCCTTCGAGACCAGTACACGAAGAGTGACACCGAGGACTCACTGGGGTAAAAGAACATCTAATGTTTTAAAGCACATCTGCTACAACAAGTACAATTCTGTCCTTAAGTAAGTCTTACATCCTACAGTTGACAAGCAAAAGGATGTACACACCTCTAAATGGCAGGCTTCCTTAATCCATCTGCTGCTGTTCCAGGCTGCAGAGAAACTCACCATTTGTTTATTGCTCCCCCAGGCAGGGTGACAGCCTCTCGTCCATTGAGAATGCAGTTAAATACAACCCCATGTATGAAAGCGACACCACTGGCTACAGCCACTATTACCGGAGATACCCCCAGCTGACATCCTACAGTTCGACTAGCGCAGAGACATCCGCGGAGTACAGCAGTGAAGAGATAAGGCACATCTATGAAAACAGCGAGCTTACTAAGGAGGTAAGTGACTTTTGGTTGTATAGCGCCATGCAAAATATCAAACAACAATTAGCTTACTCAGGAATTATAATCCTAGAGGTGGCCTCAATCTTCCCCTGAGCCTAATACTCTAGACATACAAGTTGCAACTCCGGCTGCAGCTATTTAACAGGAGAGAGAAAGGATTTCCTTCCCTGCTTGCTCTTGGGCACACAGACAGGACTTATAATGACTTTCATATGATGAAGGAGCTGACCATTTAAGTAACTCTTCCCCCCCCCCTTCCCCCCCCCATTTTGCTAGACATAGCCTTTGGTTTTTACGGCCAAGTGGCATCTGCAAGCACAGTTATAGAGCGTCCAGGCCTTTATACAGTTTTTTCAAAGTTCAGACCTTTTTACAACCTACAGGTTAATCACATTGTTCTCCTTCCCTGTTGCAAGCACAGTATCCAGGGTTTACTCTAGAAGGCTGAAGAGAAGGGATTTATGGAACTAATGCTAAAGTCTTGAACAACTGCTAGAGGTGTGAATACAGCCTGTAACTGGGGTTGTGGGCAAAGTATCTATTAGAGATAAATGGTTCTGTTAAGTCCTGTTGAAATGTCACACACTCTCTGAACTCCGGTTCTGATTTAGCACTGAAGTATTACTGGACTCCAGAACGGAAGTGCTTCACTTTAAAAATCAGTGTAAATATGTATTTTTAGTACTGGAGTGCCCAATCTCAAGCTCTTCTCCTTGAAATAACAAAGCATAAATGTTTCCTTTTTCAAGAAAGAGAAATCAGTTATCAGTAGTATTCTAATTTCTGTTCTTTTGTCTACCTACAATTGTTTCTTGTATTCTAGGAAATTCAAGACAGAATTCGAATTATAGAGCTGTATGCTAAAGACCGTCAGTTTGCAGAATTTGTTAGGCAGCATCAAATGTGAGTGAAATGTCTTGTGTGGATAATTCTTTTGATGTTTTCTCATGTGACCTTCTATACTCTTCACGTGATAGGTCTTGAAATGCCAGGACACTAGCACAATATTGTCTGGTATTGTGGGCAAAACGTCATAATTGAAAGCTTACATTTCCAAGTACTTAACCAAGCTGAGCTGTGTGCTTTGATGAAAGTTAACCATGAAAAGGCTATAAAAAAAATTAAGTATTTGCATTACACATTCCTATGAACTGTACTGCTGTAGCAGTCAGAAAGTTTGAGATAGTTTGTTGGTTTGAAAGATACTACAGTACAATTCCTTGAGAGCAGATTAAAAATAGCTGCAGTAGCAAAAACCTCATGGTCCAAGATGATCAATGATACTTTTTTTTTTAAATGAAAATAACTGCGGCTTGCATTTTTCAGTGTCAGTTCTTTCTTTCTTTCTTTTTTTTTTAAATCTTGAAAAGGATCAGCTTCTAAACTTTCCACAGCTGGAAAGCAGTAAGGCCTGCCTAGTATAAGCCTTTGAATCCAAAGTTTGAAAGAGACTAACTTAATCATTGCTTTTCTGTTTTTCATTTCAGGAAGCGGCTTTAAAGGGGAGGAAAAAAAAAAAAAAAAGAAAGCCGTAGAAGGGACGTGGGAGATAAAGACTACCTTGTTGCCACAGCAATGGGCTCTGATGTAACTGCTGCAAAGTTACTTATAGTCTTAACATTGCATGGATGGATACAGATGTTTTCTAAATGAATGGCTAAAATGTATGAATGTCTGTTTATCTCGATTACCTCTGGCTTTTCTGCATAAAGTGACATTCCTAAGAGGTGATCAGAAGTGGCAGAGGTTATGAAAGTTCATTATTCTTTAACTCTGAAATGGACAGTGAATGTTTGTATACCAAGGCAAAAAGTCTCCTTAGGAAAGGAGAAGATATATGCACAAACTAAAAATAAAATACACATTTTAAATCCCTGTCTGGTATTTTTCCCCTCACTGGAGGCTACTGTAATGGTTTCAGAAGTGTAACGTTCTAGTGGAAAGAAATATTTCGTTTGCATGTGAATGATTTGTAGGATATAACTGTTCTGCTAGAAAAATGTTAGCATTATTTTAAAGCGTCTCCATTATAAACACAAACATAACCTCAGTGGAAAAATTATCTTGCAGAGCTGCCTGATTTAACTTTTGTCACCTGACATTAGCAAAACAGAACATAATATTGCGCCTGCAGCTCTCCTAAATGCTCTCCCCCAACAATAAGCACCTCCTGAGGTTCAAAAATTGAATTTTGTTTTGAAGTTATGAAGAGAGTGGGGGGTTACATGTTCAGGTATGTTGGAGCCTTGGCCAGTCACCAAATCTCTCTTATTTAAGGCATTAACACTGCTGCTACAGTTAGAACGCTAACAGCCTCACATTGCCTCCACTAACGCTTATTTATTTTTACAAAGATAAGAGTCAACAGTTCTTGGCCTACGTGTTCCAACAGCCACCTGATACTTGTTAACGTTAAGTGACAGTAAGAACTACTTACTGTTCACAGGCTGATGATTTAAACACAGTACGACGTCACTGAATTCTTCTACGTGTTCCCGAGGACCTCACCAGATCTCTTGCAAGCAACCTCTTGTCTTGAGTGGCAGGGAATGGGGATCAGAGCCAGCTGTCAAACAAATGTTTATATAAACCACTGTAAATAAGCCCAAATAACAAAAGACTGCAAAAAGTAATCATAATTAATATCTACTTAATATCACTGCAACCAGACGTTGTGAGACAGAGGTCAGTCTGCTGTGTGACCCAAGGACTCTTACAGCAGCACAGCACAAGTCCTCAGCGCGTTTATAAGACGCACCCCCAGTCCCTCCCTGCTCTTGCAACAGCAAGGATGAGCTGTCCTGTTGCACCAAGGCCTTGTGATCATCATAACTGTACGGTTTAGAAACATATTTGAGACTTGTTTCTGTGCAGCTTGGCTAGCTGGCTTCTGTATCGTTTCTGCTAAGAAGCGGTGCATTTTCAGTGCGGTGTGCGGGGAGGCAGGCTATCCCTTCCACCCACGTCTTCCCCTTTGCTCCATTTAGAGCATGAAAGAAAGCTTGGTTAAAATTAGAAATTTATATACTTCTATGTTATTAAGGTTTAGGTTTGGTGGAGTATCTGGAACTGTATCAGCCCTTTGTATGATATAAATCAAAACAAATGTGTCAGCTGGGATCTTGCATATCTTAAAGGTATTCTAGTATTTGCTGTGCACAAGTCTAGGAGAGTCTTGGTCACACTGAGTATGAGGTATTTCAGTTATATATACAGTGAATTTTTTCTTTGTGTGTGTGTGTGGGGGGGATATACACCTATGAACCTAATGGTATCTTATTTTCACTGCAATAAAAAAATTCCAAAATATCTTTTTTTTTTTTTTTTTTAAAACGCTCTCCCCATCGAAACCTTTAGGTTTGTATGAATCTGGCCCAAGTTATGTTGCAAATATCAATTCTT